AAATGAAAAATGCAAATTAAAATCTAATATATACATAAATAAAAAAATAAATATTAAATATTCAGCAAATGTAGCCCATGTTTGGCCCCCCATTATTCGGTATTATAATTTTTGGAATAGTGTTTATTTTGGAGAATGTGTGATTGAAAAAGAAGGAAATTTTTTCGATTTACGTGTAATATTATTTAATTAGAGAATGTGTAGTTGAAAAAAATATATTTTATAATTTTAATGAGGGTCAAACGAGAGAGTAATTGCAAGTTTCATGTAAGAGTGCGAGCACCTGTCTAAAATTCAAAAGGAGAGAAATGAATTAGAATTTAAATATAGGTTTGATCGCTTTGTTTGCTAGGTATTAAAGTAAAATATAACCCTTGTTTGATTTTCATTATTTTCAAAATATATTTTTTTCTCTCTTATTTTTTTATCACATTTTTTATCAATTTACTATTTCAAAATACAATCTTACAATAGAATGAGACTCAAACAAGCTCATTATGGTAAATGACCTTTTTGTCTATACATTAGAATAAGGCTCAAACAAGATCATTATGATAAATGACCTTTTTGTCTATTTCGCACTTGTAGTTTTTAAAATTGGATTTTTTTGGTGTGATTATAAACTGATTTGTAAAAAGAAAAAAAAAATTGAGTTCGATTCTCGATTCTGGTTTTAGAACTAGAATTAGAATCAGAACAAAATAGTTCTTGGTTCTAAGAATCAAAATCATCATCATCATCATCATTATTATTATTATTATTATTATTATTTGCAGAAATGATCTAATGAGCACCGGTGCTCATCTTATCCTAAACACCGATGAGTTGGCACATTAATTCATTGGTGGATTGGAACTCACAAAATCTTTATCCACCAATGAATTAATGTGCCAACTCATCGGTGCTTAGGATAAGATGAGCACCGGTGCTCATTAGATCATTTCTGTATNGCTCATTAGATCATTTCTGTGTATAATCAAATCAAACCGACTGATTTGGTTTGATACTGATTCGATCGGATCATTTTGTCCACCCCTAAAAAATTATGACTTTATTAAAAAAGAAGGGCTTAATCATAAATAGTTTGAGTCGGCATGATCTCAATCAATTATTAGAAGTTTGGGAAAAAGTAGTCTAATAGTCTTGTAAATGAAAAAGGGGACTGGGAAATCGGCGAGCTCAATGTCGCTGGTGTTCGAGGTTTATCGTAAATGGTAAAGCTATTGGAAGCTTCCCAACACGAAGTCAAACGCTCAAAGACAGATATTAGAGACACACAGGGAACATATCATCAAACACTCCGTCATTTCATCTACAGCCAGCCACCTCCCACCACCACAGATAGGTTGCGCCACCACGCCATCAGTTTATAATCACATTTGCATGTTTGTAGCCATCTCCGTGGAACCATAATAGATAAATCCAAAAGGGAAGCAGTGTAGTATTTTAGAATATAACTCCAGAAGAGAGAGAGAGAGAGATCACGGAATCCCAATATTCTTGTCCAAATCTTTGCACCCCTTTTCTCCTTGGCCCCTCTGAGCTCGAAAAACAAACTCTGTTCTCTCAGCATCAAATCAAATACAGTGCATATTAATCTCTTATTATTGATCCATTTCGATGGAGAAGAACCAGCTCCAAAAATTGAAATTTCGTCGGCTAGTTGAAGTTGTGTTTGCATATGGCGACTGGTTTTGCTTTGAAGGGAGATAATCATATAGCAAATAATGTCAATGGCAGCGGTGGTGAAAGTAGTATCGAGAGTCCAATGACTACTGGCTCCTCTAACGCGCCGCCATTGCATTCTACTACTCTTCTGGATCAAGGTCCGGCGGAAAACGGCAAGTCGACGGTGAGAAAAAGGGCGGCGTCGGACATGGAACTTCAAGCAGGCAACGGCGGAGCTGACTACCATAATAGGTTTATCCGCCGTACAGCAACAACGCCGCTGGGTGATTTTGGGATCTGTTCTTTTATGAGTGGAGGTGATTTTAATAGTCCTAATCCACTATTACGTTCGACCCACGTAGCCAACTACTCCACTACGATGACGATGTTACCATCTTCCACGAATTTGACGTCAGGCAAATCCGGATCTGGTTCCGAACCTGCCATTTCTACTCCAAACCTAAATTACCATCACCATCTTCAACAATCCCAAATCCAAATCCAAACCCCTACATCTACACCTTCCGTATGTGTTTTTTCAGGCTTGCCTTTGTTCCCTCCTGATAAAACTCAGAACCCAAATTTGCAGCTTTCTCCATCACCCGTGCTATTACCGATTAATACTACCACATCAACCAGTGGAGGTGTAATTTCCATGGAGGAGGGTGCAGCAGCTACGGCATGGATCGACGGCATAATAAAAGATCTTATCCACAGCTCAAATAATGTCTCTATACCTCAACTAATTCTCAACGTAAGAGAGATTATACACCCTTGCAACCCTAATCTTGCGGCCCTTCTTGAATACAGACTTCGTTCTCTTACTGGTACTGATTCTGTCACAAATTACCCCGAAAGGAGGAAGGAAGCTTCGCCGCCGCTGAGTATACAAAGACCGGACCAGCATGGGCAAGGGCAGGTACAGTTAGGCACTCCAGGGCTCAGGCTGTATATGGACGACAATTTGGTCACTCATAGCCTTTCTGAATCAATGAATCAACACTTGAGTTGGCCTGTTGTCACACAACCGGGGACGGTGAATGCAACCGGGAACAACCAGTACCTTCGGAGCAATCCTAGTGCAGCAACCACAATCCCTACCAGTGTCTCTTTCCCTATGCCTGCAACTATGGTTACTGATTCGAATGATCCAGTGCACCAGTCTCCTCAGCCCGAAACCCATCCCGAGCAGCCTATGGAGCAGCAACAGCATAGCCAGTCGGCTGCGGCGGCAACGCCAGCAACGTTCCCTTCGACAACCGCAGTGGAAGCAATTAGAGAATGGAAAGAAGAAATGCGACAAAAGCAAAGAGACGAAGACGGCTTACACCTCTTGACCTTGCTCCTCCAGTGTGCCGAGGCTGTATCTGCTGATGACATGGAGGAAGCAAATAGAATGCTTCTAGAAATCTCTGAATTGGCAACACCATTTGGCACTTCAGCTCAGCGCGTCGCTGCATATTTCTCCGAGGCAATGTCGGCAAGGATAGTAAACTCGTGCTTGGGAATATATGCAGCGCTACCGATGGTACCACATAGCCAGAAAACGGCGTCGGCATTCCAAGTGTTTAACGGAATCAGTCCTTTTGTGAAGTTTTCGCATTTCACGGCAAATCAGGCCATTCAAGAAGCATTTGAGAGGGAGGATAGAGTGCACATTATAGACCTCGACATAATGCAAGGCCTGCAATGGCCTGGACTCTTCCACATACTGGCGTTGCGGCCTGGTGGACCACCATTTGTTCGCCTCACCGGCCTTGGCACTTCCATGGAGGCACTAGAGGCTACTGGCAAACGGTTGTCTGATTTTGCAGAAAAATTGAGATTACCATTTGAGTTTTCACCCGTAGCTGATAAAATTGGGAATTTGAACCCGCAAAGGTTGAGTATAAGTGAGACGGAGGCTGTTGCTGTTCACTGGCTGCAGCATTCTCTCTACGATGTCACTGGTTCAGACACCAATGCCCTTTGGCTCTTGCAAAGGTGATAACAATGGCGTCTCTTTCTTGTTTTCTGCTTTCGTTTATAGTTGTTTAGATTTCATATTTTCAAAAATTCCAATCATCACATGAAATTTTGTAGGATGATTATAATTTTTCATGGTTCACTCGAAGTTGTCATCACTGACGTGGAAAAATTATCCTTTTATTGTCCTGTAGAACACGTTTTGCTAAGCTTAAAAGTTTACTTATGAGAAATTAATTTGAGAGCAAGAATACGTTACTTTAAAAATAATCAACTTTCTTTTTATCTGAAACATGAGAAAAGTAATTTATACATGCTTGTAGGAATATTGTAACCCTGATTTGATTTGCACATGTATAAGCCATCCACAAAAGGGAAAATGAAATTGAAGACAATTTCTTGCTCTGATAGCCCCAAATTACTGTACTATATCTTTCACAATTTTAGTAGACATAAAAGTAGATTCTTTTTTGTTGAAAAATGTTATGCAGATTATGTCCAAAGGTGGTGACAGTTGTAGAGCAAGATTTGAGCCATGCTGGTTCATTCTTGGGAAGATTTGTGGAGGCCATACATTACTACTCGGCCTTGTTTGACTCATTGGGAGCTTGCTATGGAGAAGAGAGTGAGGAAAGGCACATAGTGGAGCAGCAACTCTTATCAAGGGAGATAAGAAATGTGTTGGCTGTGGGTGGTCCTTCAAGAAGTGGGGAGGTGAAATTCAACAACTGGAGAGAGAAGCTTCAGCAATCAGGCTTCAAGGGTGTATCTTTGGGGGGCAATGCTGCGGCGCAGGCAACACTTCTGCTAGGAATGTTCCCTTCTGATGGTTATACCTTGGTGGAGGATAACGGTGCCCTGAAACTCGGTTGGAGAGATTTATGCTTGCTCACTGCCTCGGCATGGCAGCCCAGCTCCCACCATTTTCCATCCTCCATCCAGTAGAACTGCCACCTCCACCGCCACTGCCACTAGCCTCATCTATTTGATTACTTTGCCGTGACGTTTTTGAGAAAAAAACTTTTTACTCTTCAATGATAGACATTAATGTTATACTTATTTTGAAGTTTGAAATTTACAAGTTGAATGAGATCAATGGTATTTAGCTTGTTTGCCCCAAATAGAAGTTATTTTTATTCCATAGAGCTTGGGCAATCTTTGAAGAAGAATAGTGAACAAGTTTTGAACGTTTTACAAAAGTGAAAACCTTTTGAAAATAATAGATCAAATGCCCTCTTAAAGTTTAAGTTTGACACCGTACTATCTAAAAAAGACTCGTCTGTCATCACATGCTTATATATTTGGTCTCCCACTTCGGAAAAGTCCCAAGTTTTGTGCTTCATCTAAGCTAATGTTATTACATATCGATAGATTCGGTTGAAAAATGATACTATTAGTTTATATTTATTGAAAACCCAAATAATTCATGAAACATCACCACAGTACAATCCTAATTTTAAATAGAATAAGAGTACTGTTATTTAATTCTAGTTGGATTATAACCCCAATAAATATGGCGCGAATGTGACATTAAATTATAAGTGAAATTATATGAATCATTTAATTCCACATTTCATTTAGTCAATTATCTACACTACATAGACTGAGGTTATAATCCTACTGAGACTTAATAACATTATTCATTGAATAAAGTTATTTGTACAGATGAATTGTGATGATGGCATTTTCCCCATACCTTGAGCACGACGACTAGCATGGGTCCCATCTCCCAATTTGGGGGGCCCTTGTCCTCGGGCTTATATGGTCCTCGAGACCTCGAGGACCAGACTCTCAAATTGGCTCCAAAAGTCGTAGTAATGGTCATCGGGATGTGGTATGCTCGGGATATTAATTTAGCTTTTCCCAATATGCTCCGTGGTCGAGCATCACTGGTCCGTTTCCATGAAGGTGTCCTAACTCTACCAAGCTACTGTCTCTCAAGAGTTTTAAGTCAACAAAGAGTCTACCCTTGATGGAATTGCATGAAGGACGGGATACGTCAATTCAACACCTATCCCAGCAATAACTCCTGAAAATAAGGAGATGAATCCTACTTGAACTACACTACCAACCACTATAAATATATCACCTTCATTCATTACTCAGGTACATCTTTTGACATATATTCAACATATAATCTCTCAATTTTCCTGTCTGACTTAAGTATCGGAGGGGCGACGAGAACACACCTTGACGCCTTTATTTCATGTATTGAAGATCAGATCAAGCAGAGCTCTTCCATCCAGTTCGGGTTGGCCCAGGTACAAATTTTGGCATCATTATTGGTGCCATCTGTGGGAACGAGTACGTTAACCATGTTTTACCACGTACCAAAAAAGCCATCGGAAAAAAAAATTTCGGCCACCACGGCCTCTGGATAACACCACCTTCCACCTTTATGCCATCTATAACTCCCAACCAACAACCAGGTCAAGCGGTACCAGAATTAGAAGAAAATTTTGCTCAAAAAGCAAAACTGACGGATTCTGCACATGCCGGAGACTCCTTCTCCGGCGACGGCCATGGTTGCGCACCACCATCAATTAGTCGCCCATCCCTTGATGTATCCAGCCATAGTCACATTTCACTCCATACAACTCCATAATGTCACGAAAATCACACAAATTGTCTTCGAGTCACGCACTCTCCGAAACCAGGTCCGAAAAATTCCAATTCTGAAGCCGTCCGGTCGACCCATGGTCGCTGACCACTGACATTGGACTCCTCTCCCTCTGCTCCATCTTCCCAAACCATGGGTCAACCCCAATTGCAAATGGGTCTTTACGAATTCATGGGTGAACTTCGAGTTCTTTGTGATAAATTTTGGACAAATGCGTTTGATGAATCAATGCTACTCCATATATTCAATTCGAGGTTCAGAACTGCAATTGATGATGGAAAGGGTATGGGTCAAGAACCCATTGCTGAATTTAACAATACACTTGCTGGGTTGATTTCTTCACAGATGCATGTGTGCGAGGGGTTTTTTTTTATCCAATTAATGCCAATTCTGTTGTTTTTGCTCCTAATTCGACTACCAAAAATGCAATTGAGGTTCCTAAGACTATGGGTAATCATTCAATTGGCTCGATTAACCACCCAAGAACCGGTTCCACTTTAGCACCAGTTCCTCCACGTGAAGTTTCTGCTTCATATAAAAATAATGATTCTGCCTGTGTTTTTGTTCCTAATTCTATCAACATAAATGTTATTGATGCTCCTAGGATCATGGGCACCCCTCCAATTGATAGAAACACAAACCAATTGCATCTCTTCATTGTTTACCTGTTATAGTATGTGGAACAAATTATTATATCCAGGCAATGTAGCTGCATTCCTTCATCCAAACACCTCTCATAAATGTTACCCCGAATAAAGTATCAAAAACTAAGAAAGGATTCTTTGAATCAAATTTGTTTGTAGCCAATGCTTTGGTGGATTTCTACTCTGCTTGTGGAGGTGTGGTCGATGCTTGGAAATCTTTTCAAGTTATTCCACTTGAGGATGTGATTTCTTGGAATTCACTGATTTCGGTGTGTGCGTCTAATGGTTTTCTGATTGATGCTTTTGAGTTCTTTGAAAGAATGCATTTTTGGGGCAAGAAGCCGTCAGCTTGTTCATTCTTAGGATTCTTAAAGTTAGCTAGTGCAACAAAGAATATAATACTCGGGATTCAAATTCATTGTTGCGTTTTGAAATTGGGTTTTGATATTGACAGTGTCCTTGTTCTCTCTGCGTTGATTGACATGTATGGAAAATGTAGAGACATTGAGAGCTCGGTGGATATATTTGAGAATGTTCCAAATAGAACTCTCAAGTGTTGTAACTCTCTTATGACATCTTCGCTTCGATGTGGTCTAATCGATGATGTGATTGAGTTGTTTGGTCTAATGATTGATGTACGGATTGGATATGATGAAGTTAGCCTCTCCTCAACTCTGAAAGCATTGGTGGTGTCTGCTTTTGCTAGTTCCACTAGCTGGATGTTGCTGCATTGTCATGCACTAAAATCTGGGTTTGAATTTGATAATGCAATCTCTTGTTCTTTGATAGGCGGCATTATTCATGTATGATTGATCTTTTGGGTCGTGTTGGTTTACTACATGAAGCAGAGCAATTGCTGAAAGAAGCACCGAGGGATGGAAAATCTGCGATATGGAGCTCAATGTTACGGAGTTGCAGGATTCACCAAAATGAACAAGTGGGAAAGAGAGCTGCTGCAACGCTAATGAACCTAGAGGATCCTGCTGCTTGGTTACAAGCTTCAAGTTTCTATTCTGAAATTGGGGATTTTGACTCTGAAACACGATTTCGGGAGGTTGTTGTGGCAAGAAAGATTAGAAGAGATATAGGTCATATTTTGATTGAGGTGCATGGTCACCGGTAAACATGCACCATAAATAATAGGTGGTTGACACAATCTGGTACGAAGAATTCCTGGAAATACAGAATACTATAACATCTGCCATTTTCAGATACCTTCATTGAGAAGAATATGATATTGAAATGGAAGAATTGATGCTTTTGCTATTGTTCGTAATTAATTTGAAATTCAGACTCCACGAAACGGAATTCAGAACTGATAAAACACAGATTTAAACAGGGCTTAATTCTGTTCTTTTTACATGTTTACAGCAACTCTAGTTTAGTCTAAATGAGAACTCCGCATGAATATTTGGAAAGCCAGTAGCTGAATTCTGCACTCCCTTGAGGTTCAATCAAAACAACCTGAGGATCAAGAATTGGCTAGTAATCATATCATTCTGTGGCTGAAAGTTTTGACATCAGATGAACATCATCTTATATCAATTATATCAAATATTGGGAACGTCATTCTCTACTGTTGGAATGTAGTCCTCCGTTTCATTTTCTTAACAGACAAAAGGACTTATTGAATGGAAACAGTATCGCTCCAAGGAAACTTCTTGATAATAGTGATGGACGAGATAGTGCTAGATATAGCCAGTACTATCAAAGCTACTAGACATCGATGGTTGAACTTTACAAAATGTTGGCCTAATTGCGTCAGTTTGTTGAAATGATGTGTAATGGTGATTTCCTACAAAAAGATCCAGATGAGGCTATAGGGTATTTAGATGACTTAGCTGAGAAAGCCCACACCTGGACTGGCCCTAGTGCTACTTATAGCACCAATAGGTTACGAGCCGTAGGAAATCCTTCTAGTGCAGGCATCTACCATCTTAGGGAAAAAGACAATCTTAGAGCTAAGGTAGAAGCCCTGACTAGAGAAATTGAGAACCTACGCACTAGTAGTCCAAAC